TACACACAGATAAGAACCACCAGTTCGATTGGGACACCGTCAGAATCCTGGGACAAGCTAAACAGAGACAAGCACGGGAATTTTTAGCGGCTTGGTTCTCCACCAAGAAGGCCATCAACAAACATGTAGAATTAGATCCTATATACACACTACTGCAAAGAAAAACCAGAAATGAGGTAATCAACTCCAACGGACCCCAGTGTTTAAATACCAGGCAGGAAAATACAACAGCGCTTCATCTGATGCTGTACTGATGATATTACCCAGCAGGGTAATGAAACTTCTTCAAACTAACGAACCAGCTTGGTGAGGAAACCAACCACAGCATCTACAACACGAGCTACAAATCTACTCAAGAACCTTCGTTAGAGTCATACCTGGCACAAAGAAGGATGGCTGTGTCATAGGTGGTCAGTCATCTCAGTTCCAGGATATTGCTGCAAGTGTGCCTCAAGTTAGTGCCCAACCATCTTCACCTGCTTCATCAATGACCTTCCCTTCATTGTAAGGTCAGAGGTCAGAATGTTTGATGTTCAGTGATGAGCACCGTTCAGAACTCCTCAGATCCTGACACAATCCACGTCCAAATACACCAGCACCTGGACAATATTCAGATTTGTGTTGACAAGCTGCAAGTGACATTTCAAGCAATAACCAAGTCCAAAAAGAGAAAAACCAGCCATCACCCTTTGACATTCAAAGGCATTACCATTTTCTAATCCCCCATACTTATAGTTGCCATGGACCAGAAATGGAACTAGACTAGCCATGTAAATACTGTGATTGCAGGAGCAGACTAGACACTCGGAATCCTGTTGTAAGTCAGTCACCTATTGACTCTCCAAAGCCTGACTACCATCTGCAAGGCACAAGTCAGGAGTGTACTGGAGTGCTTCCCATGAGTGTGGCTCCAAAAACACACAAGAAACTTGAAACCATGATAGACAAAGCAGCCTGTTTGATTGGCACGACATCCACAAATATTCACTCCCTCTACCACTGAACTCAAGGGCAACAAAGTGTCCCATTTATGAGGTGCACTGCAGAAATTCATCAAGGCTCCCTCAAAAGCACCATCCAAACCTGTAATTATACGGCACCATGTGTAAGTTCCCCTTCAAGCCACTTACTATCCTAAATTCGAAATATATCATCGTTCCTTCAGTGTCACTGGGTCAAAATCCAGGAACTCACTTGCTAATGGCAATGTGGGTGCACTTACACCAACTGTGTTGCAGTAGTTTAAGAAGGCAGCTCTCCACCATATCCTCGAGGGATGGGCGATAAATACTGACCTAACCAATGATGGCCACATCGCATGTGTGAATAAAAAAAATCCTGCAACGTTTCCAATGGAAATCAGCAACACTTGAGTTACTGATTTAAAAATATCCAAAAAAAAATATTACATACGGTGGAAATCTGAACTCAAAACAGAAAATTTAAAAAAAACTAAATGAAAAGTCATGATCTGAAACACGAACTCTTGATTCTCTCTATACAATTGCACATTTCTATTTTGATCTTAATCAACCTTAGCCGCACTACTTATTCAGGCTTACTTCTGAAATGTCAGTTTTTTTCTGTTTTTATTAGGATAGCATATACATAAGCATTCTGGGATCAATGCACATAATACACTTAATTGACAACACGCACAAACTCATCAACAAAAGAAGTCTGAGCTGCAAATTTGCTTGTATGTATGGTTACCAACTCAGATTGAGATATCACTGATGGCTTCATTGATAACTTTTGTACCCAAACACAGTAACCATGTCTCCATCACTCAATCTCACATCCACCCTGGCAGGGCACTGCCTCACCATGCCAACTGGAAGGCTTGCCTGACTGGATAGTTCTTCACTCCCAGTTAAGTATTTAATATCTGTCTGTGACGGTTTTTATAACTGATAAATACGTTCTTAGAAAATGAATGCAAAAATTTGATAAAAAGTCTCTCTGCTCGTACTGCCCTGAAAATTATTCTTTAATTCCCCAGGAGATTGCTGAGGTGGGGGTTGCTGGCAACCTGAATCATGGGAATTAGGAAATCAGACAGCTGCCTGAAAGATCAAACCATTTGAAAGAAACACCACACACAAGTGGATTATGAAAAGGAATATCCAACACTGTCTCTCAGGTTCTGTGCATGCTAAGGAATTCGCTGTGTAAATCAATGACAAGAGCAGAGACATTGCTGGATGGCTGACTATTGACAGTACCCAAATATTACACTGCCATATATTCCAGCTGTACCTGCAGAGATGGACTCATTATTCGCAGCATGAGGTAGTGTTTGTCCAGCTAAGACCCCATAAGGTGCGAGACTCATGCCTGAGCTTGCACATGTAGATTGCAGGATCATGCTGGCTCTACAGTTACTGGAGGGGGAAAGCACTCAGAGCAGAGTTTAGCTGTTTCAGGTATTGCAATTTCTCTTATTACTGTGACTTTTAATTATTCTGAGTCTGCTGTTACTCACTCTGCACTCTTTCAATGCTGCAAACGAAAGAGCCATTCATAATAATGATGGTTAAAATATGTGATGCCATCCCCCTGAAATGAACTAATTCATTGTATCAAAATGGGATGGTTTGTAGTTACGAGTCAAAGATGGGAACATAGAGCTTTGCATCGTCACAAAATTACTGTTTTGAAGCCATGATTCAATTAATCTAAATGTAACCTTGATCTTAACATAATTTCATTCCAAGTGTTGAGCACCCAGTGTGTGAAAAACTTGATGGCAGTAACCCGAAATAGAACTCTATACGTAACGTCAATGTGCAATATACTAATTTACACATCTTTTAAGCTCTGAAATGGTTAATTTAGTTCAGTTGATTTTATGTCCCCTCATTCCCTGATACTACGTCTTCTTTGAACTATTCCAAAGTTTGTGTATAAATTACCAGAACTGTACATGATGGTGGGCAGGCAGCCCTTTTTTCACTTGTAATTTCCTTTCCTAACCATATGATCAAATCAGCTCTAAACTGTAAGAGAACACCACTTCTAAATGAAAAGTGTAGAAAATCAAAGTTTAAAAGAACAAAGTACAGAAAGAGAAAGTGAATGAAAATTTGATGAAAAAGCCAGAATTTCAAATTGATTAAGAGAAAAAGATCAACAACTTAGACAGCCAGACGAAAATCAGTGTTGATGCCAGTGACAGCTCAAAGCACCTTGGACTGCAATGCTGAGCAATACAGATCGAGAGGATCCAGGTTCAATCTTAAATTATCTTAGCCTTTACAATCAGTTTGATCCCAACTGTTAAAGTGTCAGGAGGTGAAGAGAAAGTAAATTCCGCATCATTACTATCCCTATCCAATGATCTCAGCTTATGCAGAAATATACAGGACCAAAATAGATCACTCACTGCAACCTTTCTGATATCAGTATGAACGAAATATCATGTTCAACTACTTTACCAAACATACAGACCTCTCTCTTTTGGAGCTGTTGCTACAATCAGCTTCCATCTCCTCTCTTGACTTCTACATAAAATTGTTAAATCACCAGCAAAGCCCTTCACTCAAACAGCCTGCTCACTCTCAAAGGTCTAGGCTCAAATATGACGTTGGGATCACTTGGGTGATGTTCCAGAAAGCAGTTGCGGAACTAGACCTCCAAGAAGTCAATTATTCAGAAGAAAATGTATGGATTAAGGATAAATAAATGACAATCCAGTGATATGTAGTTCTTTTACATAAACATTTTTGCAAAGGAACATAGCTAATGTAGGTCAGTATTTGATATGGAAAGTTCTGAAGCAGAACTTCAAGTCACTATTAAAGACTATATATCTAAATTGAATAGAAAGTCTTTAGTTGGTCCTTAATGAGTGTGAATTGTGTTCTGAGTATGGGAATATGGCAGGGAGTTTATTTATCAAATTTATTTTACTAAGGCAGTGACTTTTAACCTCATTCAATCTAATTGGTTTCTGGGCACTTCTGTGTTTGCTTTTGTTTGAAAGTCAACTTTTCATAAGAAAGATAGTTTTGGTTACATTGCCAATGTTCCAGATCGCTAGGTACAGCTATCGGGAAGCAGCTACTAAAGGCTAGGATGAAGCATGAACATGACAGAACATTAAGTGTATTTTCTTAAGCCTGAATTACCTTGCATATACCCTTACACTGCATCCAACCTTAGAACAATACAGATCATTGGAATCGGGATTTTCCAAAGTGCATTGTGAGAAAACCATAGAACTTCAATCACAAGCAAATTCATATTTTATTTTCAAGGTAAAACAAACAGTTGACTTTTCAGGTATGGGGCATATAAATTTTAAATATAAAACCTGGAGGAAGTACATGTTTTATTTTGAAAACCTACACATCTGTCAAAGATGAAGCTTGCTCCAAACAAACATAGGTCTGACTCAAGCACAAAACTCCAGAATACTGAATAATTTCTCACTCACTGCCATCATAATTAGGGCAAGTGATCTGTCACAAAACAACCCATGAACTTCAACACAGCACATTTAAAGTGATTTGCCATCCAGCTTCTGAGATTTCGCATGAACCCCATCATGGACTGACAATGTCAGTTTCAGCACGAACGTATCACTTATCCTAATCATGTAGCTTCTCTGTTTCAGGTATGGTCTCCAAAAGTAGGATTTTGATCCAAAGTAAAATGTTTCCCAGTCTATGTTAATATTGACCATCTTTAGTACATAAGATTTATGCATTTTACCCAATCAACAAAATCAACTCACCAACAGAAACAAATTTATGGTCGAAACCCAAATAGGCAGAAGTACATTCTGGAATGAATGGATTCCTTTTTAAGGCTGTCGACACACAATCACACATGCAGCAGTCACACTTCAATTTACACTTGACTCAAGCAGCAACGCAAAACTTAATGAACCAAATACAAAAAGTTGAATAAAGCTGCTGTTTCTGTTCTTAGTTTAACTACAGTTAACAAAAATTTTCTTTCCACATCTAAAGAAAAATGCTCAAATCTGATTTTCCTCTATTTCAATCTTATAGCTTTTATTTTTGTCTTCATAACAAGGTTCTATTCCAATTCTGCATCTCACCAACATATCTTGCCAAATGGGAAAACAGGCAGACCATCTATTTTAAGACTGCAGACAAGCCCAAACTTGAACTGGTCTTTTACAACTAGTTCCCTAGCTTAAGAAGACTTCATTCCCATCCCGTGCCACATTAGATGGCAGGTCCAAGATTAAAAACTGAAAATGATTCAGACAAGTAAACCAAATAGATGAATAGTCCCTTAAAACAAAATCCTTAATTTACCTCTTAAAATTAAATAAACTTATAACCTCAAGATCTAAAAGCTGTTTGTACAAAATGTGAGCCATTTTTCTCCTATACACACAAAAACCTAATGTAAAACATCATACAAAATGCAAGATGACATTATACAAAATGCAAGATGCTTTCACCAGACCAGGAATTACAGTGGGGTGGGATCGTCAATCAGCCTTGTCCTCTATTCTCCAGTACAGTAATGCGTAGTCCATTATTACTATTTGATGATATCCACTGTTGCTATAAAGTTAATTTCATTTCTGATGTCTCAACTGCATGGATCTGCAGCACCCCCGTCTCTTCACAGCACAGTTCACGTATGTTGCCCATATCAGCTGCATGTTCCACAGTAAGGTTGCTATCTGTCTGTTGGCTGGTCTGACCTGGATGAGGATTTGTAACTAGATATTCAGCTGCAAGTATTCAAAAAAGAGACTGCCTATTTAGTGTCATTTTTTTCTTTGCTTTGAAGTTTTCAAATTTAAGATCTACTCAATTAGTTTGAAGTAGGCAGTAAACTAACTAATTAGCAGTAGAATATTTTGGTAGATGTGATCTCCAGTGCATATCAACGGTCTATCTTTGCATCTGAGTTCAATTGCAACATAAGTAACTCAATGCATGAAGTTACACTTTACAGTTATTTGAAAAAAAAACCTTTTCTGTCCTTATTCTTCTGAAATTATTTACTCCAAAATCAGAGGTCATTCTGTGGTACGTTGCTGAAGTAGCCATTATTTTTTAGCCCTTGGATTACGAGAGGCAACTTGAGTATAGATGAGAGAAGAATCATAGCCAAGCCTAGTGCTAGTGTCCATGTTCACATCCACATGCATGCAAGTGTACATGCTTGCATACATATGGTTCCAACAGAACTGATAAGTAATAACCATGTGTGGCAGCCTTGGTAAAACTTTCCTTTCCATAGCCCAAAGACACGTCTTACAAATGTAGCAGTTACCACCACTTAACCAAGCACAGGTAGAGATCAAAACTGGGACCTCCTTAGTTGATGTCATGCACTGGAAAAACTCATTGAGCCACCTGTGAAAGAACAAATTTTACATTTTTACCTAAACAACTCTATGAAGTCCTGATCTCGGGTTAATATTCTTGCATCAACAATTCCAATGTTCAGTCCTACCAAACCACTTCAACAGTCCTGTTCCCTTCTGTCTGAAACTCTGGCTATTTAACCATCCTCATCCTTTTCTTCACTATTTCCACATGCGTTTTCTACATAGTCTGCCGTTAAATTCACAGTCCTGGAAGTGAGGGCATTTGCCGAAGTACTTGGTTGTACATCTGAAGTAACTGTATGCATGTCTCTTTCACGCCTGGTAGGATCTGTTGGCATTACAAGTGTTGCAGAAGGTGGATTCCTTTTCAGTTTGATCACTCGATTCACTATTACCTTCTTTTCCGGTAACTTGACTGTTGCAGTGCAACAGGACCCTGTGGCACTTCCAGCGTTCTGGGATCTAACAGCTGGGGACATTTGGACACTAGATCCCGAAGTAGAGCCTGTGGCCCTGGGAGATAGTGTCCTGTGGTTTACAAGCTCCCCGGTGCTTAGTCTCTTTACCGCTGTGGTTTTGAGATGAACCAAAGTGTTTGGCAATGTTTTCGTAGCATCAGCTGGTACGGACAGCTTGACCAAACCAGAATTCTTCACTTTAATGCGAGTGCTTGTGGATGGGCCAGAGAACTCTACAGGTTTCAGGTTCTTTTTAGGAGTTTCAGCTTCTGCTTCTGCTTCACTGAGATCAACGAGTCTGGAAGATAAACACAACTCCGACTAAGGTAAAGATTTAACAAAGTAGAAAAACTAGCAGCAACTCTGAACCACTGGTAACAGATTGAATCCATAAAGTTGAAGTTAATCCTTTGTACTGATATTCTTTTAGTTACTTTTTAATTAAACATTTTGGGATCTAATTGCTACAAGCTTAGGGTTTGTAACAATAAACTTTACAAAAAGAAAATATTCCGCAAGAAGTAATTCATGAAATGGGAACAAAAAAGAGTATCACCAACATAAGTATGATTTCTGTGTTATTTGAAAAGAGTGTCCACCTCCTGCAATGAGTTTGCTTTATGGAATCAGTGATGAATTTAATCCTTTTCTTAACAAGTTAACGACAGGGCCTTGGGTTGGAACAAATTTCCTGTCATCAGGAGTGCAAAACTCCAAGTTGTGTCCATGTATTCCTGTGTGGCTAGCATCTAATTTATTCCTAAAGGTCAAAAACTCCTCCCACAAAAGACAGGAAGAAACTACAGGCAGAGTCACTAGTGAATGCAGTGATAAATGTTGAAAGCTGGTCATAATCCTGGCTAGAGAACAATTAGTTATGGGAAATTAAACTTTTAAAGTAAAATATATCTTGTGGACTCCATGTATTTACAGAGCAAAATATGCAGAAAACAGAGAATTATCATTCAGTATTTTTTTCCCCAATGGGAACCTCTCATGGATTTTTCTGATCGTTAAACAAAGAAGCACAGATCAATTAAGGAGGAGACAGACTTTCTGTATGAGTGCTTTTTAAACTTTTCTGCTCAGGGGAATCATCTTGAACGTACCAGTTACTCCCAAGACCCTTTAGCACTAATTTCTGAAAGAGAGCATCAACTTCCTAGTTTCATCTTGGCAGAAAAACTGTTAATTAGTTGGAACCTCCAACTGACTCCCCACAGCCCGGAGATCCCAGTTTGAAAACCTCTAAGCAATACAGGAATTTTTAAAGAGTCACCACACATGATGAAATGAAGCACCTACCGCTTCTGAATAGGTGTCACAATTTCCTGTGTGCCTTGTAGAGGTCGGCCTTCAAGAGTCCAACATTCAATCAACTCCTGAGGCACTCGCCAATAACTGACACCTGTAGGTAAAGTAAGATACTACATCTGCTTACTACAGAAGATATAGAAACAAGATAAAGACCTATCACCAAGATCCAGTTAAATATAACCAAATGCAAGGAACATGACACAAACTTCTTTCTATGCGTGTTTTGTAGAGGATTCAAAATTGAGTTAAATAGAAATGCCCAAATTATATCACTCTGAGATTAACTTCAGTGACATGACTGCAAACTGTTCCTTTGAAGTGTCATTCGATTTTAATTTCCCTATCTTTGGAAGTATAAGTAATCAAGATAGGTGATTGTTGGAAATGAACCTTTCATTCCGTATGGTAATTTCTCTCACATCGATTCACATTTGAGAGTTTAGCATAAACAGTTAAATCTAGTTCAAGAAAATGAAACCGTCGTTTGAATTTTGAATTATAAAGCCATCTAAAGAAGATTATTTATTTTGAAGTATATTGTAGTCCGAGAGGAATACAATACCACAGCTGCACTCTGATGAAAGTGTGTCATCAATGCTTGTATTTGGCAAATGATCAATAAAGCATCATATCCCTCTCATTTGAAACAGAACAGTTCTTCCTGTCAGCTGAAATACACTATGTCTCAACTCAGGGCTGTCACAACGTATCACAGTGAGAAAATCAAATACTTTGTGTCACAACAGGAATCAATCATTCTTTGCTAACAACTCAGCTCTTTTTGGAAAACAGTCAACTTTAAGACAACCATATTCTAATGTGCTTATGACTGAAATGAGTACTTTGTGCAGTTATTTCTTTTTGAGGTTTTAAGAAAATACACATTTCTGAAGCAGAAAATTGCTCAAATCGACTCTCAGCTCAAACATCTGCAGCTCCATCAGCTCAGAGTTTTAAAAACAGGAAGAACTGTGAGGTGTGAGGCTACAGTGAGTAAAAATAAATTCAGACAGAAATGACCGAATGCTGAAGAATGAAAGCTGATGGAACATGCAGTAAAATACAACAGATAGAAAGTGAGAGAGACTTTATGGATTTTTACTTGATTTACAGGGTTTGTGGGGGTAGAAGAGAAGGTAGTTCGTTTAACTCTTCTTTAGCAATTCAGATATGCTTGCGAAGTCTTTAGGAAGGAAAAGCTGAAAAAGCTGAATGGGCTGTACTTAGTCTGTCTTTCCAAATGGCCTGAAGCAATAATAAAATATTCCGCTTGCTTTCTTGGTAGTTTATTTGAAACCATTGCATTCAATTGCTCAACAGATTAGACTGGAATTGGACTTTCAAAAGAAGATGTGTCTTTAACTTTTGAAATAATGCCCTGCACATTCTGTGAAGAAGGGGCATGAAGTTTAAAATAAAGAGCGGAAAGCTGATCAAAACAGTAGTTTCATATGCATCAGTACATTGGCATGTTTATGAAACTGTTACACTAAATCAATAAGCTCTTGCTGTCAAAAAGTGGGATGTATCTGGTCATTGCTGACTGAGATCTCCCTTCACTTGGGGCTTCTGAGTGAAACAGTCTTATTACCCAAGTCCAGTGACAGTACTATATTATCATAAGTATCCAACATAAGAAGAGACTTTAAAAGAGACACATCTTCTTTTGATGTACTGCTGAAGATATTACCGATTACAGAAAATGTGGCCGAACAGTGGAAATGAGCTGTAAAGATGAGATGTGCTTTGAGTTGTACAGCTTATCTGAAAGTCTTAAATGCTTTTATGTTGACATGAACAGTAAGTACCTCTTCCCTCCCAGGAGTCAAAGGCATCCATCATTTTCTTCAGCTCACCAGCTGAGTAATAGCTCCATATGTATTGTAGATTGTTTCCAGCTTCCCTAAAAATAAGACAACAGAGAAATATGAAACATGAATGCAGGGGTTTAATTAGATATTCAATGTGCATCGTTACAGTGTCAACAGTTTTAAAGTTATAACCATTTCTGCAGTTTACATATTATACTTTTTTTGGTGTATCCTTCTAGGCAAAAAGATTGGTGTAAAACTTGTCAAGGTGGTGCGATAAATAGAAGTGCACAGCAGAGTTTAAGAAGAGCATTTGATGCACAAACTGCTCTCACAGACCGAGGCCAGAGTGAATAGGACTGCTTGATAAGTTTGGAGGAAGTACTATATGATGAGAGATGCAGGATAAAAAGAGAATGGAAAATTGGAAAATTTGCTCATGCAATTGTTTCTCTTTTCGTTTTGTGTAGAATCCATGTAGATCCATCAAAATGGAAGACACTAAAAGGATTCAAACTGAAATAATAAAATGGAAACTCACAATCTGAAAAGGAGCCTTTTTTATTTGGAGTACTCCCTTCATTTTCTATCAAAAGGACGAATAAGACTTGTTGAAATTCTCAACTTTTTAAGCAATAACTTCTTTAGATTTTGATTGGTCAAATCAAAGCCATCTGCCTCCAGAACAAGTGTGGCAGTGCTCTGTTGTCAGATTTGTGAACTAGGTATTCAGAAAAAAAAACACTCAACACTTAACTCTCCTAATTTAAAAACCATTTTCTATTTATCCTCAGTATCAGCAGATAAAAACAATGAGGTTTTGAAGTGATAACGATCATCAATTAGATGGATAAATTGGACTGGACAGCATTACAATGAGGAAACATTGCGGAAAGTAGAGGGTATTTACACTGACAAAACAAAGGTGATCTTATGGAGTTTTAAAATAGCGAATGAACTGGGGAGCATGAGTGGGAACGGAAGAGGGTGAGCCAGGACCCAGTGCCAGGAGCACAGAATGCAAGGCATGGGCAGACTAGGAGGACAGGGTGCGAGGTTGTAAGCAGGAAGATGGGCCAAAGGCAGGGGAGGCAGGAGGGACAGAATGGGGTTGGAACAAGAAGTGTGCAGGGTGAGGTCAGAGCGAGAGATCAGGGCAAGAGGTCAGAGCAAAAGGACAAGAGGGCGAGGGTTTGGACTGAGAAAGCAACTTGTTACAACAAGAGGACAATAAGCTAGAGGTTATAGCAACTAGCATGTGGTTGGAACAAGAGGTAGGACAGAGAAAGAGAATGAGCGATAAACAACACTTATTCAAATAAAGTTATCACAGTGGATCTACCTGGACAAAGAGATAACACAAATGCGGTGGATGTTCACCACTCTGACATTCCAGGAAGCGAATCCAACATCCAGGTGGAAGATGAGGCAACCAAATGAATAATCCCAATTTAATGATGAGAACCTAGTGGCTCCTAGAATCATTGTTGAAGCTTTTTTCTGTAGCAGCAATAATCTGAACTAAATAAATGCTACTTAAAATCGTGAACTGTCGGCTATATAGGAAATTTAACAATACATTAATCTTAACATAAAAGCAGAACATGACAAATGGAAGATCTGAAATAAAGACAGAAAACGCTGGAATAACTTCATACGTCAGGCAGAGTCTGTGGAGAGGGACACAAATTTTAAATTTGTCACTGGTGAAGCCTATTGGGTACCAAGTCACTGTGACATTTTGTAATTCTTTCTGAAGCCTTAATTATTAATTCTGCTTATTCTCCTGGGTAATTTGTATTCTACAATACATAAATGTTACAAATTGTGTCAGTATTGATAAGGAAGCTTTAATTTTGATATTTTTATAGTGTGGGAAAAACCTCCTGAACTTTGTTTTCATCAACCTGCCAGCACAGACGCATTTGCGCAGAAGACTATTAGTAGACGGGACACTGCACGGTTCTTGAGGAGACAAAGTTCTGCCTTTATATTGAGGATACCTAACATCATGCTGCGTGGCAATACCACCATGCAAATGGGACAGATTTCAAGTGGAGTTGAGGATTATCAAATCAGCCATGATCTCATATAATGGAGGTGTAGACTTGATGGGCTGAATAGTCTACTTCTGTTCCTAAGTCTCAATCCAGCAATCAAAACGTGTATCCTTGAGGTGCTGTGGGCCATAAACAGCTGAACTGTATTCAACCATAATCTACAACCATGTGCCCCGGCATATCCTTCCCCCTCCACCATTATCATCAAACCTGATCAACGATGAACCCTTGTTCAATGAAGAGTGCAGGTGGTCATACCAGAAACGGAACCTGGCATACCTAAAAATAAGGTGTCATCCTGGTGAAGCTACAACACAGGACTACATGCATGCCAAACAATGGAGGCAGTGTGTGATAGATAGGGTGAAGCAATCGCACAAACAATGGATCAGATCGAAGTTCAGCAGTCTTACCACATCCAGTTGTGAATGATGATGAGCAAATAGCCAACTAACTGGAGAAGGCTCCACAAATATCCCCTTCCTCAACGATGGGGGAGCCCAGCACACCAATACACAAGACAAAGCTGGAGCACTTACAACCACTTTCAGCCAGAAATGCTGAATATATGTTTCAACTCAGCCTCCATTTGAGGTCTCCAGCATCACAAATGTTGGTCTTTGGTCAAATCAGTGCACTCCACATAATATCAAGAAACTACTTTATCAAGCACTGGATACCGCAAAAACTATGAGCCTCAACAACATTCCAGCAGTTACTGAAGAACATGCTCCAGAACTAGCCATTCCAGTTGTTCCAATCCAACTTTAACATTGTTACCTACCTGACAATGTGGAAGACTGCCGAGGTATGTCCTGCCCACAAAAAGCAGAAGAAATTCAATCTAGCCAATTACTGTCATACTGTCAAATCATCAGTGTATTAATGGATGGTATTCATTGGCACTGCTATCAATTGGCACCTACACAGCAACAACTTGCTCATCAATGCTAGGTTTGGATTCCATCAAGTCAAGTCAACATCTAATCTCATCGTCCTTCGTCTAAATATTTACAAGAGAACTTAACTGAAGAGGCGAGAGTTACTGGCCCTGACAACAAATAACTTTGATTGACTGCAGCATCAAAAGAACCCAAGCAAAATGAAGCTCAATGGAAATCAGAAGAAATCTCTTCACTAGTTGGAGTCATAGATAGAATACAGGAAGATGGTCATGGTTGTTGATGGTCGATCACCTCAGTCGCAGGACATCATTCAGGAGCTCCTCCCAACCACCTTTAGTTGCTTCATCAATGATGTTTCCTCCATCACAAGGACAAAGTAACTTCTCAGATATGGAAGCAGCCAGTGTCCATATGCAACAAGACCTGGACATCATTCAGGCTTGGGCTGATAAGTTGCAAGTAATATTTGCACATGTGCTAACAATGTCCATCTCTAACAAGAGAGAATCTAACCATCCCCGTTTGATATTGAACAGCCATTGCTGAATCCCCTAAGGTCAACATCTTGGTGGTTACAATTGACTGGCCATATAAATACTGTGACTATAACAGCAGGTCAGACACTTGGAATTTTGCTGTGAGTAACTCACTCTTCCAAGTCTCCAAAGCCTGCACTGCACAAGCTAGGAATGCAATGGAATATTTTGACGCCCTGGTGATTGCAGCTCCAACAATACTCAAGAAGCTCAACTGACTGGTCGACTGGGCACAGCAATGGCAAATGGAAATCAATCTGGAAAAGCGTGAGGTAATGTACTTGGAAAAGGCTAACAAGGTGAGGAATTACACAACGAATGGTAGAATCGTGAAAATTACTGAAGATTACAGCACCTTGATGGGCAAATCCACAGATCCTGGAATGTAGCGGGGCAAGCAGATAAGGTGGTTAAGACTACAAACCTTTCTTAACCATAGTACAGAATATTAAACAGCAGGGAGGTTATGCAGGAATTGTAAAAAAAATGCTAACAAGCAGCAATTGGAGTACTGTGTGCACCGAGTTCTGGTCACCACATGACAGGAAGGAAGTGATTGCACTCACGAGGGCGCAGAGATGATTTTCCAGCATGCTGCTTGGGCAGGAGGGTCTGAGCTATGAGGAAAGATTAGATAGCCTGGCGTTGTGTGCCTTGGAACAGCAAAGGTTGTGTGGGTACCTGATAAACGCATATAGGATGGATAAGGAGGCATTTTTTTCATTAGTAGTGGAGTCAATAACCAGAGGTCAAAGATTCATGAGTTAGATAACTAAAAGGAGAATAGAGGAGAAATTATTTCAACTATACAGTAATGGTTGTCTGGAACATATGGCCTGAAAGAGTGGTTGATTCAGAAACTCTCACATCTAATCTGTAATTAGATATTCACTTGCAGAGGGGTCAAAAGCTGGAAAATGGGATTAGTGTGGTCAGACCTCTGTTGACTGGTGCAGATATGATGTACTGAATGGTTTCCTTCCGTGCTGTAAATATCCAGGACAAAGCAGCACGTTTGCTTGGCACCCCATCAGCCACCTTATATATTCAATTCACCCTACCACATTGCGTCGCCAAGGTGCAATGTGGCAGGGTGAATTGAATATATAAGGTGGCTGATGGGGTGCCACGCAAACGTGCTGCTTTGTCTTGGATATTTACAGCATGGAAGGAAACCATTCACATTGCATCTCCAAAATGCAACGTAGCAACTCAAAAAGCCTCATTTCACAGTACCTCCAAACTTGCTAGCTCTTGCATCTAACAGGGCAAGGGCAGTAGATACTGTTCCTTCTCTATAGCTGGAACAAAATTCTGGAATTCTCTTCCCAACAGCACTGTGGGTGCACCTACATCAGAGAAGCTTCAGCAGTTCAAAGTGGTGGCTCACAATCACCTTCTCTAGGGCAAATAACTAGACAGCAACACACACATGAAGGAACAAAGAAAAACTTTATCTTTGAAAAAACAGACAAAAAGGAATTAATTCAGTCGTTGATTATGTAAACCTTAATAGACAGACATACAAAAACTGGCAAACTGGATAAGACCTGGTTCATCAACCCTGTCCCAAACAATTGTGTCATCCTCAAATAAAACAAGAAATATGTTGATGTGTCAACTTAATCCATTAAGATATGCATTTGGCAATATGTAAAGAATTTTTAATAAGATGATTCAGCTCAATAAGTGGTCATTCCTAGGCACTGATAAATCCCTAAGGGTTCTTTGGCAAGGAATTAAAGAGATGGTGTTCTTCTGGTGAGTAATATGATAGTTTACCAATCTCAATGTCCTTCATACAAAATAAACAGAATAAAACAAGACATGCAGTGCAAAGCAGCAAATTTTACACTTAGATATCATAGGTTACTGTCAAATCACCCACTTTTACCTTTTATAGATACTTCTACTTTTCATCCTGCCTCCCAGCTGCTTTTCAATGGCTCCGATCCCTTCTATCTTTGATGTAAACACTCCTAGGATCTTGCTCTCACAACTAGCACCACAAGTGTTGAGATAGTGCAGGATCCACACCACAGGATTTGTGCAGATTAAACCATAGGAGGCACACATGTCTGTCAATGCCTGTATTTAACAATTGGAACAATAATGAAAACATTGATTATTGAAATAATTGACAAAAATGCTTTACTTATACCCTACTTTCATCTGAATGTATATTGACAGCTATGTGTATTTCAATAGTTCTTAAGTTAGGCTATTGTTGACTATTTTCCTAATCCCACAATGAAATGTCATTGCATTGTCAAACAAACTGTTGTGTGATCTATAAGTTAATAGTGGCTTCTGAAAACAGCACACTAGGAGGACTCTAAATATAAATTCAATGTATTCCAAAGTAAAAATGAGATTGGATACATTATAATTCTACTTTTCTTGCTTGAATTGTGCCTTCTGGTAACACAGGAGTCCATATGGATACTTGCTGACAGTATTGCAAATATTTGGGTAAAGTTTCCACTTTGAATTAATGTGAAAATTGTACCCAAAATGCACTTGAAATTGTGCTGGTGGTCATTGTTCAGAGTTTTTGCATAGTCATAAACTTAATTCTTCCATGCACCAGTGCAATCAAGCAAGATAACCAATATAATCATTCCCTTTTTCCTTTGACGAGCATTTCTTAATGTATCTAAGCATTGGGAGTGGACAAAGTGAACCTCTAATTAGCATAAAAGATGATATAATTCAAATGATTTGCACACAGCCCACTTAAACTTAAAACGCCCAATCCTTTGTACTGATTCGGTTACTTACACTGGAAGCAGACTACAAAACTTGCATAAGCAAGCAGAAACTCAAACTCAGTATCCAAATGCCCAACTATCAAAGCAACCAGCTGGAGGTACCATCCTTGCTGTGATAAATTTGTGCATGTAGGGACTAAGTTATAATTGCCCAATTTAATGAAATTGATCTGATTGATGTTTTTCTGATTCAAGGTGCAAGGAACAGAAGAGGGTTTCAAAGGTGACACCATATGCAACTTTAAATGGTTATTTGATGAAGCTTCCTCATAGTCACTAATGAACTTCCACGTTTCTGACTGGGTAGGCTCAACTTTAGGTTAAATATACCGAAGTTGACTATTCTTAAAAGTATCCTTTATTGAATTGCTCATAAAAGCAGGAGCCAGATTGTTTTCAAGAGTTGTGTTGGAATTATTGTGAAACTAAATCTAATTAACTCCAGTTGGCAGTAATCACATGGCCAATTCTGAAGTGAGCAGGACACTGGGTTGTATGACAGTGATAACTTAATGTTGCAAATGGTATTAGAGTAATGAGTGCAATGCAGCAGGATGCTTTAAACAACACAATTAAATTCCAATCTGGGAAACTCAAGACATGAGGGAAGATGCGTTTTTTTTCCCAAGGTACTGCCTCCCTCCCAAGACAGAGCCAAATGTGCCGGTCTCTGGATTGCTGGAAAACAGATGTTTGAGATCATATGGAATTTCTGACTCATGGACCTACTTGGAAATTGGTCAAGTTAAATTTTCAATGGTCAATTCTCCTGTTCTCTACACAAATAGCTTCGGAGTCAGAAACTTGTAACAGTTGCTCAGGAGTCACCCAGGAAATGTTAGACAGACCGAAACCTCATCTAACACCTTATAACACACAGCCAACTTTCCACTAACCTCCCTTGAGGAGGATGACACCCTCTGAACAACCAACTACACTTCAACACCCACAATACCTGCTGACTACTTGACCAGACTCAACCCGACTACAGCCCCCCCAAACTGACTAGATACTGACCTGACTACCCAACTATCCATTGACCCACGAATCCATTCATTCGTATTCAAGGATTGGCCCTTTAAACTCACCATTCAGTAGATAATGCCAGAATTTTGTCCCACCCAAGATTAATACAATTATAAAAATATATAATTATTGAAATCTATTCTGCTGTAACGGAGTTCACTAAGAAAAAGCAGCACTGCATAATTCTGTGAAAGCCAGGATTGAAAGATCCCAAAGGGAATGCACAGCAGTCCTAATTCAGGGGAATTTACAAGCATGAGGAAGGTTCAAGCCAGAGTTCTGAGAGCACAAGATAATCTCTGATGACACACAAGCTATTAGCTGTAAAGGGCCAAGTGCCACAATCCTTCATCAACATGTAGAAATGTCAAAGCCAAGACCCATCAACCTTGCTTTCATCAGATGTCACATGCATGCTCAGAGTTTCTGAATAACAATAATCTAATTGAACTCTGGCCAACATTTCCCTTGAAAACCTAATTGTGAGAGCTGATATCCATTATATCAGGAGACGTTCCAGAATCAAACCTAGATTCCCTTGGTCTGCGTTACATCAGAAGAATTAAAACTCTGTACTTAACGGTGCCTTTCACATCCTCAGGATATCCGAAAGCACTTTACAGTCCATAAAGTTGTTTTAGAAATAAAACAGTACTGTAGGAAACATTGTGACCAATTTTGCACGCAGCAAGGTTTTATAAACAGTAGTAAGACGATGAAAGGAGAAAAGAATTGGGCAGGACATTTGTGTAAACTTCCCCTGCTTTTCTTAAAAAAATTCCATAACACCATTTGATGTCCATCTTATTTAAATAATGTCTCATCCAAAAGATAACACTTCTGATAGTACACCACTCTCTCAGTATTGCATTAAAATATTAATCTACATTATGAGAAGTCTTTAGAGTGGGACTTGAACTCCTGTCCTTTTCGTTCAGAAGCAGAACTGCTACCACTGTGTCAAAACCAATATCGATAACTTACAGAGCTGCCAGGAAAGACTGAAAAATCTAAGAATATTGCAGGAACTGGAAAATGTTGTTCGGTCTGACATTGTTTAAATATAATATATTAATTACAAAACAATTTAACTTTTTCAACATCATTGCTTTTCAGGAATAAAAATATCTCAAGCACAGATGATCTAATAAGACTTTTTCATCATCAGTCAAAATCACGAAGGACAAAGTTCTTACAGTCAATTATGAAAACAATGATTCGACACTGCTCTATTTTCACTAGGCTTCATTTTTTGAAAAGAAAAGGCCATATTTCTTTCAAGTAACACTGCAACCAGCTTACAAAATTCGGGATGTCCAAAACTTTTGAGATGAACATTACAAACCTTTTTGATTTCCATGTTAGATCTCGAGCAATGTCTTTCCATCTCACTCGACAAGTAGTCAGTCAAACTATAAGGATAGGGAATGCCAAAGTAATCTGCCTCTTCTTGTAATGCTACACGAGTTTTCGTTTCCTCAGGGATGCAGAGTTCACCATGCAGATAATCCAAGAGATACTTGAAAAGTTTGCCATCCCGTTCAATAAGACAAGCTCCTTTAATAAAAAGATTTTAGACTTTAAACTTCAGCATTACACATCTCAAATTCAAAATGATGCATTGATAGCTCCAGCAGTTTATCTTCCAAATAGTAAGCCCCTGGGTCTCCCCATTGCTCAGCCAGGTAGACTGTGTCAATCTTCAGTGGGCTACTGCACAGTAACTCCAGCAAAGTGATCCAACTCAATTAAATGAAACATGGCAATAAGGGATGGCACAGTACAGTAGAACAATAGATATGTTACCAGACCACTTAGTCAGTGGCCTGGCCTAATGAAATAGAGGAAGGAATTCAAACCCCATCATAAATTCAATTGAATAAAGCCTGGATAAAAAGTCAATTTTCAATAATGACAAACAAGAAACTACAAAATTGTTGTACAAAACCCACTTGGTTTGTGAATACCCTTGAGGGAAAGAAATCTGCCAAACCGAATGATTTATTCATTGCCATTTGCATTTTACAGTGAATAATTCAGAAAAATAGTGAAAATCTTCAACAGTTGCAACAATCCGCATCACTTTGAACAGTTTAAGAATAAAATGATAAAAGATATAACTGAAAGAGAACCCTGAGCTGCTTCACCAGTAACACCTGTGCCACCATCCATCTCCTCCGCACCTCACCACTGCCTGTGTCAGACCCACCGACATAGGAGTTGCCAATCTTTAGGCACCACCTCTTCGCCACTGCCAAGTGGCACGATGAACCCACACTTGCCCCGCAACTAGGAGACCCTGACTCCACTGCCACCTCGAAGCCGCTAGGAATCCCGGCTCTGGTCATACCATGCTACCATCACTACAGCTGCCGGTTTGCCAATACCAGGAGTCCCGCTCTGGGCTTACTGCAACCCGGGAGTCCCTGGCTCCGCAAGCCAGACCAGGTCACCGCCGCCAACGTCTTACCAGCCGTCCTCATCCGAGATGTTGCCTTCCCAGCACCGCCATCGCCATATTGAAAAGTCTGCTCCCACCAACACCGCTGATCGCTGGAAGGAACTTTGCTGCTGCTGCTGCCGCTGCCAGCCCCCAAACGCTGGGAGGACGTCTCTGCTGCCTCCAGTCACCATGAGGAGCCGCATCTGCCACCGCTCCAGTACAACAGGAGGAGCCTCTATTCTATGCATGGCCCACTCTTGCTGCCATGCCGACTAACCCACTACAAAAGCTTTCAAAGAAAAGAAAAACAAAAGAAAGAAAAAGAAAGAAAGCATGCAGTAGCGGATGAGCTCCGGGCAAGAGCCTGTCCCATGTCTGACTCCAGATCCACAGTAATGTGGTCTCTGAAATGGACTAGCTAGTCACCTGGGTACATTCAAGAAAGTGGCAAATCAACATCTCTTCAAAGGTAAATCGAGGTGAGCATTAAATGTTGGCTTTACCAGTGGTACATCCATAACTGAATAAAGAAGAGCCACATCTACCGCTTTCCCATTTGAAATATGGTATATAGCTGTTTCCTCAACGAGTATATTGCAGCTCAGATTGAAAGGAAGGGTGGGGGGAACATTCCAAAAGAGATGGAAAGCAAATTAAAGAGAATGGTAATCCAGTTATGTTGTTTATAAATCAGACATTAGTAATAATAAACTACTCTTGTTTTATCACATTCTTGTGAAGCAGCAAATAAACTTCAATGCTGTAAAATGACAGGGATGTCTCTGATACACGTAGTATTTATGTAAGGGAGTGCTCCCAAAAATATTATGTCTATATAGTTCAATACAACTTCGTTGGGGATGTATATGAGAGAGCTGCCTCAAAACCATTTACAAATCCGACAAATGTTTTGAATATTATTGAACACCTCAAAAGATTTTATGCTTTTCTTCCCAGTCATAGGCAGAAAACCACTGACAATCACTTCGCTTCCTGATCTCACACTGTTACTTCTAGTGCTCCTCATGCTTATGGCCTTCACTCAACTTTTCATCTAATGCTGCCCCTTGACAACACAACTCAAAAACACGAGGCTCCATATGTATGTTGATACTAACCAGCTCTTTTGACTCATCTACTGTCTTTAAATTGTTAGACTATTCGAGTAATGGCTAAGCAGATATTTTGTCCAACTAAATATTAGGAAGACTGAAGTGTTGCCTTTGGTCCCCTTTACATACTCTGTTCTGTAAGCATCAACTCCATCCCTCTCCCTAATGACTGTCTGAGGGTGAACCAGAATTTTATTCCATTGTGTTGCACTTCACCCAAGATGAACTTCTGATTCCATATCTACTCCACTGCCAAGTGTTGACTCCCAGTTCTATGACATCACCTAACTTTGCTGCCTGCCTCGGCACACGTGCTGCTGAAACTCTCACCTACGCCTTTGTTAACTCCAGACAATTCCATTGCAATCAAGGTTGACTGCCATACGACCATCCTCCAGAAACTTGAGCTCGTCCAGAACTTTGTTGCCCGTGTTGCAATTCACACCATGTCTGCATTCTTCAACCTGTACTGGGTTCCAGTTAAACAACACCTCAATTTTAAAATTCTCATCCTTGTTTTTCAAATCCCTCCATAGCTCTACACCTTCCTCTGATCCTACAACCCTTGCATTCTTCTAATTCTGGCTTCTTGCAAATCTCTTAAATTATTCATTCCATCATTGCCAGCTGTGCTTCCGGCTCTGAAATTCCTTCCATAAACCAGTCAGCCGCTCTTTCTAATCTTAAAACTGTTGAGTAAATATTTAGCTAATTTGCCACTCCACAATTATTCAGTTTCTTACTGCTATGATTTTCATTTTAGTATTAATCTCAGTTGATGCAAATCCATTGCTAATATTAATTTCACGACTACAATAACGGGTCATCACACTGATCAAGGTCAACTTTTACACACAACCTACACATTCTGTCCAGAAATAAAAACATTCAAGTTGCATGTGGAAACCCCACGAATTTTCCAGCTTCTGAAATTTATCAGACTCAGTGCGTTACTTTACATCTCTTATTACCCAAATTCTACTTAGAGCATACGCAAGTGAAAAGGAAACAATTTGATTCTCATATAAATAAAGAAAGAGGAATCCTATTTCAAATAGGAAGCACTGCTCCATATATCTCAAAGTAGTTTAAGAATTTCAAATAGAACAAAGTCAAACTTATTAAAGGGGCTAAAATCTGTTATTTAAGAATAATTACAAATGTGTTATTGGTGCTGTGGATGTCTAATCCAATGCTTTGATTTTAGAATTATTGCCCTGTTTCCAAATTCCTTCATGGCCAGGCCATTCTATTTCCATAATCCCCTCCAGTCACGCAATTTCTGTATTCCACTATTTCAGACTTCTTGATATCCCTGATTTCTCACTCTATCATTCGATCAGTCCATGCTGTCGATCATACCTTCAACAGCCGAGACCCTAATTATCTGAAATTCCTTCTGTAATTCTTTACATATATACCTCTCACTCCTTGAACTTGACCAACTTTTCAGTTAACTGTTCAAATACCATGTTACTTGGCTCGGTGTCAAATTTTGTTTGCTGATGTTCCTGTGAAATGCCATGGGATATCATACTATGTTGATGGTATTAAATAAATGCAAGTTGTTGTTGTTTCAAATAACTATATAAATACTAGGCTGGATCAAAATCACAGCAGCATAAAAGCAACAAAGTAAATATATTTTGCATAATTAAACTGCCGTTACCCATTATTAATGGTTCTGACAGACTATTCCATCATGCCTATAACTACTTTTAGATAATGAATCAGAGACCACTGACCTCAGCACTTCTTGAATTTTGCTTAAAGGACGCAATTTGGTTGTAAACAAGAAAAAAGAGCATCTCCTAGAAATCTGTAATCATGCTACATGAGATGATATGATTGACAACTACATTCTTTTCATTACCTGATTCATCTAGTTTCAAAGGAAACCGTCCACTAAACATTGCACTAAGCATTGAGTCTTTAAAACGACACAGGGAATTTCGTCTGGCTGTATACAAACAACCTCCCACATTCAATCTGAGAATCTCGGAAATAGCTTCCCTCTCACAAGACGCCATGATGTGCAATATTCAATCACTCCATCGCTGAAATTCTAAGTGCAAAAAAAAATCAAAAACAGTTTGTTGGTATGAAGATGAATCAAATGTTGTTTGTCCTATTAATTACTTATTAGCCAGAACACACATTTAGTTTTTCTCTTAAAAAGTAACTGACTTAAAGTTAAGAATATCCAACAGTATTACTTTGATTACACATTGGTGAAGTCCCTTGGATATTTTTAAATGTCAGAGATTCTATACAAAAGCTAATTGGATTATGCTATTAATACACACAAAAAAATGCCACTTGTGAACAGATCTATGGAAGGTAACAAAATCTATAAGTTTATGTGGCATGTTGCAATAACTGCTGTAGCCCATTAACAGGGATTGATGGGGTATAAACGAGACAGAATAACAAGCACAGTTGGTATTAAGAGGACTGTATGGAGCTTCTTCTAAACAAAACCACTTTGAGCTTTGTGCTGACCAGAAAATATCATATTCCCGGTTACTTTCAGGAAGCGTCAGATTATTTGCATTCACAGGGAGATGAGGTGAGGTGGGGGTGGGGAAGGGAGAGAATCTCCTCACAGACACCCTTTGTAACTCCCTCCTGTTAATCTATATCTCAGAAGTTGTACCCATAACCTCCGGCTCCTCAGCTCCACTTTCCCTTCCTCCTGGACAGGCGCACACTGATGACATGGCCGCAGCCCAGCGCAGCCGCAGTGCCTCTCAGGCCCAGCCCACCGCCTGCTCAGCTACTCCCCCTGGAGGTGGGAGTACAGCAAAACCGCCCCCGTTGCCGCTCCACTTCGGCACGGAGTGGGAAGTGGATCGACAGAGTGACCTCCACCTCCTCTCTCCCCCTGGTGGCCGTAGAGAGAACGCTCCCTTGCTCCGAGGGGCACCGGTGCAATCACAATCCATTTATCTTCAGCTTAATCGATCTTGACTCGAGTCAAATCCTGTTTTTATGGCAGAGGATTGCATGGGTTGCAGTTCAACTATGGCCATCACATTTCAGAGATTTTGTCACTTTTTTTGTGTGTATGACAAACGAAACCAATAGGCACCGTCCAAGTGGCAGAGTTTGTTGAGGACTATATTTCTCCTGTTTAAGTCTTCAAGTTGGTCAAGATAGAGTCATGAGTTATAACTTCCTGGTCAGCCTGCCTTAACACAGGTGTCATCTTGATAAATGAATTTAAATGTGCTAGATTACGAATTAACTTGATTTCTAAAACATATTAAAGAGGATCCTTATTTTGGTGGCAAGTGTCACAATTGGCAGGCCTTCCTAACAACGTTCAGCTGAACAGGAGTAGGAACATCACAAGGTTTTGAGGGCTACAGACTCATAGAGTCATACAGCATGGAAACAGACCTTTTGGTCGAACCTATCCATACCAACCAGATTTTCCAAACTGAACTGGTCCCATTTGCCTGCATTGGCCCACATCCCTCTAAACCTTTCACACCTATGTGACTGTTCTGTTTTTTTTTACATGTTTTTAATTGGACCTGTATCTATCACATCCTCTGTCAGTTCATTCCACATGCTGTGTGAAAAGGTTGTCCCCCACCAGTCCCTTTTGAATCATTCCTCTCAGCCCATCTTTCATTGCTGATTGCTTGACTTATTAAGGTGTGTTTGAACTAGAGTGACCACTGACAAAGGTCACGAATACCAGGCCGTGCTGTAGCACAGGCCATACCACAAATGGTCATGACTTCATCAAAGATTCCCCATTCAGAAGCCTGAATTGAGCCTCATCTAAATAATAAAAAACATGCACATTTCAGGAAAGTAAAGAAGAATCACAGGTCCCTGCAAGTCATTCACTGAATCAAAGCAGTCAAAATGAGGTACACTTACTCAGGGCTGCAATGATTTGTATTTTAATGACCCCAAAATTACCAGACATTTACATTATATAGCACATATATAATATACATACAAATCCAATAATGGACAGGCGACAGAATAGATGAAATCCAGACTACCCAGTTCAAAAATGGACAATTGGCCATCCTCGATTGAAGAAGACATTTGATGCTCACTGGGAGACTTTCTGGAACACTGTGTTCAGACTCCATCAACACTCTAAGGTCATTTATTCCAGAATTTCTCTGAGAAATTCAGCTAAAGAGAGTCATGCTATTGTACTTTATTGGAGACCTCACAGGAATCATGAGGAGAAAGGAAGTGATTGTCGTGGTTGTCATTGGTCTGCAGTAGGAACAGGATGATGAGTTGAGGGCGGGTAGGAGGAAAGAGAGATTGGTAGAGACCTCCAGATTCATTGAGATGCTGCATGCTCCAGCAACTGGCAATTGTGGGAAACTAGTGTTACTATCAGCAAGCGTGCCAGAAAGTCAAGCTCAGGATCTGGAAGAACAGGAGAAGGAAGATGACAAGGAGGTGGTTTAGTTGGAAGTGAAAGAAAAGTGGGACCAGGAGATACTGGCCTGCACTTAAGAAAATAGCATTTAGCAGTAGGCGTATACAACATGTCCTTCATATATCTTACTTGTTTCAACAGGATCACCTCTCATTGCCCCTGGGAGAGACACTTACCACCATTGAATTGACTGCCCATTTTGAGAGGGATCCTACACCATCAAACTTCAGACCACCTTTGTCCTCCCATGACTTTAATGAGTTTATCATCTACTGTCAATCCTTTCAACATCTAACTCAAAGGAAACAATGAAAAAGCTCATTAATTCCATCTATCACAATTGCCATAATCAGTCTTTAAGGCAATAGAAATGTTATGGAATAGAAAGAGGCCATTCAGCTCTTTGTCCCTGTGCCAGGCTTTATTGAGAGTAAAAAGGTAAACTAGTCATCCTGGTACTTACTCTTCATAACTTCTTAATCCTGAATCAAACCTTCTCTATGCCCTGCTGTTCCAAAAACAAAAAAAAACCCTATGTATTTGATCCTCATAGCTGAAATGTTATAGTTCCAGTAGCACCCTTCATGTAACAGAGTGACCAGAACTGTGAGCTGTACTCTACTGAGTTGAATTAATTTGTGTTTTACACAGTTGATCTTAAGCTCCCCACTCTTATAGTCTGCACCTCAACTCATAAAGGAAAGCATCCCACATGCTTTGTTAATGAACTGCCCTTCTATCTTCAAGGACTTGTGGACATATATTCCAAAGTGTCTCTGATCCTGGTTACATGTGGACTGTGGGTAAGGTTTCCCAATTTATTCCTGTTCCAGATGGGGTATCCCAAACCGTTACATTTCCAATGAGGAGGGATGACTTGCCTCCCCTTCTTTGTTCATCTTACCCTGCCCCCCACCTCCCACCCCCTCACTTGTTCACAGAAAATTTACTTTCAAAATGAATCTCTTCTCTTGTGGATACCTTTCTCCCAACCCAAATGAACTTTTCTTTTAAAGGAGCCAATTTCACTAGGTTTCCTTCAAAAAGTGAATTTATTAACTGTTAAACGCAAGAAAACTTGGTAATCAACACACAGTCACACTGATTAAAAATAAGAGGTGAATCCAAAAAGATAAATGTTTTTAAGACAAACAGAAACATGTATTAGCCTGTGGTTTGTTCACTGTGGATAGTTGAAACATGCATTAGCCTGTGGATAGTTGAATGTTGTGGCTGTTGCATTGAGGTTACTAGGAACATTGACATTGGGACTGCAGTAACTGACTTCCTAATTCTTAATTTTGCAGACTGGCTGAGATTCTGTTGTTCTTATTCCTTTCAACCCCAATTGGATTCCAGCATTCAGGATGAAAGAATCCAGTTCTTTTGTTGTTTGGTTTCCTGTTGTCTGGTTACTAGCTAGCTGACTTCAAGCATGTGGAGTGAAAGTGTCCCTTTGCCTGCAACACAGGCGTAACAAGAGGATAGCGATTTGACTGTGCATTGACAGAACACTAACACTCAAACCCAGGCTAGTACACATCTGTACCTTAACCGACTGGCACCCTCCAGTAGCATTGTGTCAGGCATTTTAACCCTTGTTCTTGCATGTTCTTCATAGGGGAAGAAAAACACAAAATGTTTCTGCAGTTCAGGACATAATCCAGAGGGGGAGGCTTGCTTTGGAGCAGGGGTTCAGCAGTCTTTTAATCAGCCTATCTTTGTAGTCACAAGAATCACATTCCAGTCCATTTAGACTTGGTTCTTCCCTCTTTGAAGTGTTGCTGTTCAATGTTCCTTTCGCATCCTTAGGTGCGACATTCCACGGGTCTCTCTCTCCCTCTCTCTCCAGACACCCGCTTCTTCAGCCATCTTTTTAAAAAATGCTTTTTGGAATTACAGGTTAAAAGTGTCCTTAGTACTTTGGGTTTCTAACTGGTGGTCACGACACTTTCTCTGCATGGTGAATGTAATGAGATTTATTCTCATTTCATTACAAAAGGTGAAAAAGAATCAAATAATGAAACAACACACTGACTCACACACACATTTGATTTGATTGATTGATTATTGTCACATGTACCAAAATACAGTGAAAACCTTTGTTTACGAGTGGTACAGGTAGATCACGGCAAGCAAAGGATATACAGATCAAAAAGGCATACAGGTTACATTGCAGATTACATTATTTGAGGCTACAGTCCATTCAACACTCTGAAAACAGCTGGAAAGAAGCTGTTCCTGAACCTGCTCGTGCGTGTGTTCAGGCTTCTGTATCTTCTGCCTGATGGAAGTGTTGTAGGAGATCATTACCAGGGTGCAACGGGTCTTCGATGATTTGGCTGCCTTTCTGCAGCAGTGAGCTCTGTAAATAGAGTCCATGGATGGAAGGTTGGTTTCTGTGATGGTCTGGGCTGTGCACACCACCTTCTGTAATTTCTTACGGTCCTGGGCAGAGCAGTTGCCATACCAGGCCGTTATGCACCCAGACAGTATGCTTTCAATGGTGCATCTGTAGAAGTTGATGAGGGACCTTATGGACATGCCACATTTCCTGAGCCGCCTGAGGAAGAGGAGGCATTGTTGTTCCTTCTTGACTGTCACATCTATGTGGGAAGTCTAGGACAGGTCATCAGTGATCATCACTCCAAGGAACTTGATGCTGTTCACCCTCTCAACCTCAGTTCCATTGATGAAGATCAGGGCGTGTTCTCCTCCTTTCTGAAGTTGATTATCAGTTCTTTAGTTTTGCTGACGTTGAGAGACAGATTGTTTTCATTGCACCACATCACCAAGCCCTTTATTTTCCTTCTGTATTTTGACTCGTCGTTGTTAGATATCCATCCCACTATGGTAGTGTCATCAGCAAACTTGTAGATGGTGTTCGTATGGAATTTGCCAACACAGTGTTAAGTGTACAGGGAGTACAGTATGGACTGAGGTGTTGAAGGCAGAGCTGTAGTCAATGAGTAGGAGTCTGACGTAGGTGTCTTTGTTGTCCAGATGTTCCAGTGGTGACATAAACACACACATTAATTCCCTTAACCTCGGCCAATGTTTTCTGTTTTAATTGGGTCTCTCCAAGTTCTCGCCAGGGTTTCTGCAATCGCTTTTGATCTCCTAGCAATGTGGGTGACTTTTAGGTGATGCAGTTAAAGAAATAAACTTCAACAAAATAACTTGGCATTCTTGGCCTTAAACTTAACAGAGGTTACCAGGTTGTATTTAGAATGGACTGTGGTCTCTCTGTACCCATTTTGGACACATATCTCACTGTATTTGAGAGCCAGTAAAAAATTAATCATTTCCTTCTCCACCATTAATGTTTGTCTCTGATGTTTGTTTCAGTTTTTTGGAGAAGGGTCTGAATGGTCTATCTCTTCTTGATTCACCTTCCTGAAGGAGGTCAATATCCACCCCAATGTCACTCGCATTGATGGTTATTTTAAATGCTTGCTCAAAGTTTGGAGT